GAGAAGCACGCCCCGTCCCACTGGTTTCATCGAATTCCAGCCAGACCTTCTTGTCCATTTTGAGCCAGGCCACGGTGTCTTTGATTGTGTACTGGAGTCCAAAGAACCAGGTTTCCCGAAGCCCCAGCGTCCGGCACACCAGATCAAACAGGTCCTTCCCTTTCCACTTCATCTGCAAAATAAGCCAACAGGAAGGACAACTGTGAGCCACAGTCCTGAGCCGCTCTGCCTCCTGATCTTTTCTCTGCGTGCTCCATTCTCAGCTCCCAGAACAAGGGGATGACACTGGGATGGCTGAGGAGCTCTGAATTCCTAAATAATTTTAAAGCTTCCTACACAAAACCATGAGTGGGAAAATACCAATTAGAGCTTAATGGCTTAATCACTGCAAAGCATACACAATACCTCCCTTGGCCAGTTCCTTACAGATCTTAATATCCCCAAAGCTGCTAATTTAGGAAACCTGGTAAATAAGCACGCTCATTTAGGAGAGGTAACCCAGTGAGATGGCTAGCTTCTAGGGACATTGGTTTCCTTGAGATTCTGTTGTTGATTTTGTTTTGTTTTGTTTTTAAATCATAACTCTGTCGTTTGATAAAAGGCTTGTGTTTTGCTTTTGTTTTTGCTTAAAAACTAGTTTTACTAAAAGTTTTTTAAACACTGGGGAGGAAGTTGCAACCAAAGTCATAAATCTTGGAGAAAAAGAATCATGAGAAAACAATCCGATCCCAGGTTTCCTATCAAGGCTACCTGCCTGAGACCAAGGGGGGAAGCGACTTGCCCAGAGTCACACAGAGCAATTTCTAACTCTGGGTTCCAAACCCAGGTGATGAATAGACACGGATATACCATAGTCTGTTCCCCCATAGCCTCACTTTCAGAGGGACCTGAGGCAATGGCTGCTAAAGCCTTTCCTCAGCTATTCAATCTTGTCTCTGGAGAAAGCAAGTTCAACGGCTAAAAAGGGGAAGGCAGGGCCAGCAGCTTAGGAAATGCTGCCACCCAGAGGCTTTCCGGTTAAATCACCCCAGATGTCCTCACACTACCCCTTAGCTGCCGCTGCCCCCTCCCCACCCCAGCCACCCCCATGTATCAGGCGGGTGTTCAAATGCACACTCAGGCGTGAGACACATCACAGAAATGGTGGTCATGGGAAGAGTAATAATCTTGGGGTTCAAACACAAGTTTGGCAGATATGGAAGAAAGAGACCGCTCTGTAGAGGCCTCCCTCTGTCCTCCTGCCCTCATTAGAGATCTCCACCCAAAGTCCTGGTACACTCAAGATGCATAATGAAAAGCAATGGGAAAACATTAGGAGTTAGACACTTGGTATAAAGGCAAGAAGCACAAAATATTATTTGACTGGCTTTTGCAAAAACCCAGTTCTACAGGAGAGTTTTCCAGGAGGCCTTCTGTTTTTGATATATGTGAATGGACACCGCGTTCCCTGCGACGTACTCAACAGGAAAGCCCATCCCTTCTGTGCATTTGCGGTCAACGCCAAGCGAAGCAGCAACCTCCCTGGAAGGACACCAGGACCATGGCAGACAAGTGGCTGAGGCACGCAGCAGCATCTGTCCTTCAACCTCTGTTCCTGTCCCCTCTGACTATAGTGAGGACCCAGGAACTACAATAATTAGGTCTTCTGAGAGTATATGAATAGAATAAAAGTGAATTTTTATTTATTTACTTTTTTAAGAGAGATTTTTGCTATCGGGCGCATGTTCTTTCCAGAGAGACAGAGAGATAGAAAGTGAGAAATCACCCCCTCAGGGGGGATGGCCATGCTGCAATCCTTTCTCCTCCATTCTCCTCTCAGGATTTCACACACACACACACACACACACACACACACACATACCTGGCATGAGTTTTAAGCTGCCGGGTCCAGGACTCAAACCGCAGTGAGCTACACGGGAGTCCAGCAACATAACCATTATGCTATCTGCTGGTCCAATGAATTTTTATTTTTAAAATATGATCCTCAGGCCAGCTGGTGACTGGTGGTTGAGGCGGCTTGATCCCACGTTGCTGAATGTGTGGTTTTAGTCCCTGATCTGGTGCCTTGTAAAAACACACCAGGCGCAGGACCAGTGGATGATATAATGGTTATGTTGCTGAACTCCCACATGACCGACTATAGTTCGAGTTCCAGACCTGATGGCCTGAAACTCATGCTTAGCATAGGTGCATTTGTGCCCAAAATTCTGAGAGAAGAATGGAGAAGAAGGGTAATTTCTCATTTTCTATCTCTCTATCTCTCTCTGTCTCTCCAGCAAGCACATGTGTCTTACAGCAAAAAATCTCTCTAAAAAGAAAACAAAAAGACAAACAAACAAAAACACCAGGCACACGTGCATATGTATACAAAATCCCAAGAGGAGAATGGAGGAGAAGGGGCCGCAGTGTGGCCATCCCCCTTGAAGGGTGATTTCTCACTTTCTCTCTTTCTCTCCCCCTGTCTCTCTCTCTCTCTTTCTGGAAAGCACACATTCCCTATAGCAAAACTAAACTAAACTAAATTAAAATAAAAGATGATTCTCCTTTTTGTAAGGCTGAATAAAGGGCACACCCATTTCCCAGTCTGACAATAGGACAAAGGTTATATTTATTTATTTATTTTTAAATGCATGGCAGATTTTAATTCCTACAGGCAGACTTCACTGAAGAAATGTTATTTTGGAAAGCGAGAAGCTTTGGGATGCAATGATCCTCTTGTCTCTGTCTTGAGCCAGCTCATAGTACATAAATTATAAATGACTACCTCGCTACAAGATAATGTAACGGTAAAGAACAGGCATTAACTTGGAGACATTAAACACCCGAGGCTGAGATCAAGGTAACGATTCCTAGTCTGCCATAACTCACGGCTGCGGCCAGGCCAAGCCTGGGCCCACGGGGGCAGGGTGCAGGCGGGGTGCACTGTGCATGGAAACGAAAGCTACCAATGGAATGGTAGGTGAATTTCCCGAATTGGGATTTTAAATCCTCCGTCGTAATAGTGTATTAATACAGTTTTCCTGTATTCCCTTCTCCTTCTTTGTTTTTTAAAATGCAAAACTATCTTTGTTGAATGCAAGAAGACAATGTCTTTGTCCCTGTGGAGCCTGCAATAAAGTGAGGAGAGGGGGAAAAAAATCCTCATACCAATTGTGAATGCCCTACTTAGATTTGTAGCTTTGATATGAAGAATCGTAGACTCTCAGGGCTGGAAATGAGCCTGAGTAATTACTAGTATAGACTCAACCTCTTTTTGTACAGATAAAAACACTGAGCCACAGATTCCTTGGCAGCCCGCCAAGGCAGACCCTGACCCCTTCTACAGAGATCTCGGTGGGCAGGCGCCCAGGGCTGCTTTTCAGTGCCTCTCTTCCTGTTCTGTGGGATTCCTTTCTTCTCCACCTCCACCAGCACTACTCAGCCACGTTTTCCAGTAAGTAACCAGTGTGGGAAGCTAAAGCATCCTCAGAACAAAGATCGTTCCTTTACAGCTCACTGTGAATTAAAGCTGTGTGACCTGTGCTCTTCAATTTGTCAGAATTAAAGTGCACCCACCAGGGACCAGCAAGTGATGTGGTAGTTAAAGTGCTGGACTTCCACATGGCCAACCATGGTTCAAGTCCCGGACCTGGTGTCTTGCTTTCTTTCTCTATGGTGAGCACATGTGCCCTATATGAAATTAATGATAATAATAAATTAAATAAATAATTCTTGAGGTAGGGGCGGAAAGCACATCCCCTACGTGCCAGCCAACGTTAGAAATGGAGGCTACAGGTGATTGAGGGAACTACGTCCCACACCCCATTGCCGTCTGGCTACAGGTGATTGAGGGAACTACGTCCCATACCCCATTGCTGTCTCTCTGTCTCCATCTCTGCCTCTCTCTGATAAATGTACATGCTCTCTGATCAGAAAAAAATAAAATAAGGAGCTAGCAGGTGGTGTGGTGGTTGAGAAGCTGGACTCCCACATGGCCAACAGTGGTTCGAATCCTGAACCTGGCAGCTTTATTATTTTTTTTTAAAGTTGTTTTATTTAACTTTATTTATTTATATATTTTAATTTGACCAGAGAGGGACAGAGTGGGGGAGGAAGGGGGAAGTGAGAAAGCAAGCCACCAGGTCTGGGACTTGAACCACGATCAGCCATATGGGACTCCAGAGCCCTTAACCACCACCACCCTGGCAGCTTTCTTTTCCACTTTCCCTTTTCCTCTCTCTCTGTGTCTCTCTGATCAAATTTAAAAACAACAATAACAAATTAAATTAAATAAACAAATGATTCTTTTTTTAAAAAAAAAAGAAAGAAAAAGAAAAGGAAAAATAAAATAGAGGCTACAAAATGGTAGAACCAGTCCAGGAGCCAGGTCAGAGAAGGCTTTTTTTTTTTTTCGTTTTTAGAATTATTTTATTTAGCTTTATTTATTTATTTTTAATTTCACCAGAGGGGAACAGAGAGAGAGAGAGAAAGTGAGAAACCAAGCCACCAAGTCCAGGACTTGAACCATGGTTGGCCACATGGGAGTCCAGCACCCTTAACCACCATGCCACCTGCCAGCTCCCAGAGAAGGCTTTAAGGAGCAGAAGAACAAATTAAAAAAAAAAAAAAATGAGGAGTCAGCTGGTGGCATGTGGCAGCATGTTGGTTAGGGCACTGAACTCTCACATGGCTGACCATGGTTCAAGTTCTGGACCTGATGACTTGCTTTCTCACTTTCTCTCCCTCTCTCTCTTCCTCTGCTTCTATCTCTCTCTTTCTCTGTCCCTATCTCTCTCTGGTGAGTGCATGTGCTCTATAGTAAAATTTTAAAATTATTTTTTTAAAAGAATTATTTAATGTATTATTATTCTTCAGTTTGACCAGAGAAAGACAGAGAGAGAGGGAGAGTGAGAAAGCAAGCCACCAGGCCTGGGGCTTGAACCATGGTCGGCCATATGGTAGTCCAGCACCTTCTGGTCCTCAATAAATAATTCTTTGGAAAAAAAAAAGAACAAATGAGAGCAAGTTAGATGAAGGAAGGAAGGAAATACATCTTTAAAAAGAATCATGATCTCTGGGGGCCAGCTGATGGCGTATTGGTTATGTCGCTAGACTCCCACATGGCCAACTGTGGTTGGAGTCCCCAATCCAGTGGCTTGAAAATCATGCCAGGCACGTGTGCGTGAGTGCCCA